CATTTGCACATCACAGCTAAGATATGCTGTATAGATTTTATGAAAAAAATATTAAACCAAAGCTAAGATGACCAATACTATAACCAATAAAATCCCAAAAAAATAAAAAAATAAAAAAGAAAAAATTCATCAGAGAAAACATACCACAACAAATTCACATGAGATCATGCAAAGTGTAAAGACCAATTGCCAAGTGCTAGCATTGTATGCACATAACCACTTTGATAGTATGAACTTCAATAAAATAAGTTGCATATAATGTGACTGGCTACATGTAATATGGAAAAAATACAATACAGAAAATAAAAGCATGCCAAATGTACCTTGACACATAAAATTAGGATAAACGCATCAATTAAGTACTTATTTAAAGGGCATAATAATCAAACACGATAATAGTAATCTTGTCTTGGTGCAACACAAAGTTCTCAAGAATATTATGCTGCAGTGCAAGAAGGGATACAAATCATACAGAGGAATATGTCCAGCAAGAACTCATGAAAACATCATAGCCTCATATACGTATTGCCTTCACCATAAAATGGTTTAACGGAACCAGCATGTCAGATAATAAATGTTGGGCAGAAAATATGTATAATAAAACAAAATCTGCCAATTTACCAAAAGTGAAATTAGAGACTGCTTGAATCTCAAGGACAACATTTCTGCCCATAATAGCAAATATTCTTACTAATGGCAGACACCTCTAAATGAATTTTTCAGAAACTGATGATTCTGAAGTTGATTGGAAATTGTTGAGTTTGCAAACAGCATTATGTCTCCAAAAAGCAGTAAGATAAAACCATATACCTGTAATGGCTTTCTCCTTAACACTTGAAATGCTTCTGCCCTCATTGACAAATATGTAAACTTCTTAGTTAGTATGTTTTCAAGTTCATCTGCCATTACCTACACAACAAAAAAATAACATTCATTAAGGAGAAAATGTGAGACCAGAATTTTATTCAGAGTCCAGAAAACTTACAAGGGTGCTAATCATGTTTTAAACGTCACAGATAACAAAACCCCTATGCATTGTTGCATAAGCAAGAAGAACATAAAGCAAACAATTCCTTTTTCTAGATTTTAGGAAGAACTTATTGTAAACCATAATGAGTATATAAGTTTCAAAGAAGAACCAATCATGTTAAGGAATAAAAAGGCTCAGTATATTTCATGATATTTTGCTCAAGCCCCTAAATGTATGATTTAAACTGTTGAGGTTTACTATAATAGACAAGTCATGGAAACGAAATAGAAATCTAAACAAATTGACAGCCCCATAAATTTTATGAATTTGGAACTGCTGAAATGAGCCATAAAGAAGGATGGACCAAAACATATTTTGCCTAATCAAAGCTCCAGATTGTGGTTTACAGGATTCAGTAGAAGTTCAGCATGGGTGCTGCAAAATAACAAAAAGATTTCACCCAACTGATAAAATATACCATAAGCTTGAAGCAAAGACAGCAATAATGCAGGAAACAAAATGAAAAATAGATCAAGTAAACTAAGCTGCAAAGGAAAGCATTAAGAGAAATTTCAATGCATGCCATATACAAAGAAACTAGTGTTCAATATAAACACATTTAGATCAAAAAAAAAAAATGCTAAACGCTCGCAGATAGCCACCAAAAATGAATTTCCTGGCTGTGGCAGAATTTTCCATGAATTTGTAAATCCAAATTATGTGCTTCTAAGATATTCAGAATAAATTCCTTAAAATATATTATGCAAGTGCAAGCCTATGTCTTTCAGTTAAAATTGTGAACTTAAACATCTAATATCAACTTATTATACAAACAAACACTCATTAACATATATGACCCAAACACTACAACAACAAGATAATTAAGCAATACGAGATCAGGACCTTGCAGCAGTAAAGCGTACTTTAACTCAACCTCCGGCTGGTTATGTCTTTCAACTTCTTGACAAGGAAAGTTCTACAACAACAATCAAATTTCATTCATAAAATCAATCATAGATCAATGAACAAACAATAAAACCAACAGTTGGAAACAAAGCTATCAAATTACAACGGCATTTTGCATACCTGAAACACATAGCAGCATCAAGCGTGTTGCGAATGCACGTCAAAGACAATCACAATGTTGTGGCCTAAAAGTGATTAAAATTAAGAAACACAAAATTATTGTCAAAAACAGAGTAATAAGTAAGATCCACAATCTTACCATGGTTAGGGATTGACTTGAAACTAAGTTGTGTGTTTGTGAGATTCAAATCCATCAACTTACCACGCGATGGCTGCCGGAGAAATTTAATTGGGCAAATCTCCCAAGTTTACGTTTAAAAAAATGACCCTAAAATATTTTTGAATTTTTTTAATTTAGAAAAGCTGACGTGGCAAACTTAGGATTTATTAAACATGTTAAATGGGTTAAACTGAAAAGATTTAAAAATAGCAGGTAAAATCATAATTAATGGAAGTTTGTTAAATTTTGAAATTTGAAAACGCACCCCTACCTTCAAAATCGCTTAATCGAGTCATATACCCGAAAAACGACCGACGAAAACTTGCTATATACAACTGAAATCTTCAAAAAACTTTCTGGAATAAATCAATAAACAATTATATCTAACAAATTTGTCAATATAGTCTACTTAATTATCCTATTGATGTTTGTAGTTATCTTCTATATAATTGAATTTGTATCAGAATATATGACACACATTAAGGTCACAAAAATTTAAAAAAAAAACTAATTTATATAAAGGTAAAAAAATATAGTAATGGATACACCAAGTTCTCTTTTAACACAATATCGAAGACTGATGAATCACTATAAAACCTCAAGAAACTAATACTTCTGGGTTTACAATTCTACTCATCCCAAATCAATGAGACAATAAACACTAAAAAATAAAAAACACTTTCATCCATTTACAAGATCCTGAAAGTACATAAACAGTGAAGAGATCATCTTGGAGGGTAAACATATGATCCAAAACTGGTCATGATTTAAAATAAGACATGCAAAACCATAGAGATTTTCCAATCTTGTACAAACTGCTTCAGAAACTTGGTAGCCACCAGCCTACCTCGTGTGTTAACTGACATTTTCAATTCATTATCTATTTATCAATGTCCTGCAATTCTATGAAAAAATTCTGTTTGTTTGATATATAGATTTAAAGAAAAAGCACATGTATTCTACAAATATGACACCCAGTTGGTTCTCTAAATGGTAACTAAAACATGTGCTACATAGTTGAATCTAAATTGTCCAATCACGTGTTTAAATTTTTAAAAATGTTATATTCATGTGTCCAGCACAGTTAATTTTCTCTGTTCCCCTGAAAAAACTATATCAAAGCAAGCAACAGCCAAAGGACGGATTATTCCGCCAAATTAAACAGCAAAAGGGATTTTCTAATGAAATAAACATGCTCCTCAATCCCTTTACCGGTGAGGAAAAATCTTGATAAGCCCAGTTCTGGTGAGTCATCAGCCAGACTTTTGCATATCCAACAGTCAGAACTCCCCTGTGCCTCCATCTATTACCATTAATTGCCACCAAGAAAGCATTTTAAATCTAAATCAAATGACTATAATTCATTTGCACATCAAAGCTAAGATATGCTGTATAGATTTTATGAAAAAAATATTAAACCAAAGCTAAGATGACCAAATACTATAACCAACAACTGCTTCATGGATTTACAAATCCCAAAAATAAAAAAAATAAAAGAAAAAAGAATTATCAGAGAAAACATACCCACCAACAAATACACATGAGATCATGCAAAGTGTAAAGATCAATTGCCAAGTGCTAGCATTGCTATGCACATAACCACTTTGATAGTATGCAACTTCATCATAAATAAGTTGCACAAATGTTGACTGGCTACATGTAACATGGAAAAAAATACAATACAGAAATATAAAGCATGCGAAATGTCCTTGACACAAAAATTAGGTAAAAGCATCAATTAAGTACTTATTTAAAGGGCATAATAATCAAACACGATATAGTAACTCTTGTCTTGTTGCAAGCACAAAAGTTCTCAAGACTATTATGCTGCAGTGCAAGAAGTGGGATATAAATACATACAGAGGAATATTGTCCAGCAGAACTCATGAAAACATCATAGCCCATCATTATACTGTATTGCCTTCACCATAAAATAGTTTAATGGAACCAGCATGTCGAATAATAAAATGTTTGGGCTGCCAATTTACCAGAAGTGAAATTGGAGACTGCTTGAATCTCAAGGACAACATTTCTTTGCCCATAAATAGCAAATATCTTACTAATGGCAGACTACCTCTAAATGAATTTTTCAGAAACTGATGATTTCCGAAGTTGATTGGAAATTGTTGAGTTTGCCAACAGCATTATGTCTCCAAAACGCAGTAAGATAAAACCATATACCTGTAATGGCTTTCTCCTTAACACTTGAATGCTTTGCCCTCAGACAAAATCTGAGAAACTTCTTAGTAGAATGTTTTCAAGTTCATCTGCCATTACCTACACAACAAAAAAATAACATATTGTAAGGAGAAAATGTGAGACCAGAATTTTATTCAGAGTCCAGAAAAAACTTATAGGGTGCTAATCATGTTTTAAAACGTCACAGATAACAAAACCTCTATGCATTGTTGCATAGCAAGAAGAACATAAAGCAAACAATTCCTTTTTCTAGCATTTTAGGAAGAACTTATTGTAAACCATAATGAGTATATAAGTTTCAAGAAGAACCAATCATGTTAAGGAATTAAAAAGGCTCAGTATATTTCATGATATACTTTGCTCAAGCCCCTAAATGTATGATTTAAACTATTGAGGTTTACTATAATAGACAAGTCATGGAAACGAAATAGAAATCTAAACAAATCGACAGCCCCATAAATTTTATGAATTTGGAACTGCTGAAATGAGCCAATAAGAAGGATGGAGCAAAACTTATTTTGCCTATAAGAAGGATGGAGCAAAATATATTTTGCCCATATCTACGGTCCAGATTGTGGTTCTTACAGGATTCAGTAGAAGTTCAGGGCTGGTGCTGCAACATGCAACAAAAAAGATTTCAATCAACTGATAAAATATACCATAAGCTGGAAGCAAAGACAACAATAATGCAGGAAACAAAATAAAAAATAGATCAAGTAGACTAAACTGCAAAGGAAATACATTAAACAGAAATTTCGATGCACGCCATATACAAAAGAAAGTCGTGTTCAATATAAATGCCTGCAGATGGCCACCAAAAATGAATTTCCTGGCTGTGACAGAATTTTCCATGAATTTGTAAATCCAAATTATGTGCTTCTAAGATATTCAGAATTAAATTCCTTGAAAATATTATGGAAGTGCAAGGCCTATGTGTAGAATCTATGACTAAGAAGCTATAAATGAGTGGGTAAACTACCAGACTAGTTTTGGGAAAGGGTGGTTGTGAAATTATAATAATAATTTAAAATTCTTCTTATATATATATATATACCACCAGATACGGGATTTAAAATTGTGAAATTATAACATCTAATATCAACTTATTATTATACAAACAAAACACTCCATTGACATAATATGACCCAAAAACTACAAGAAGAAGATTAATTAAGCAACACAAGATCAGGAACTTGCGGCAGTAAAGCATACTTTAACTCAACCTCCGGCTGATTATGTCTTTGAACTTCTTGACAAGGAAAGTTCTACAACAACAATCAAATTTCATTCATAATATTACCATGGTTAGGGAATTGACTTGAAACTAAGTTGTGTGTTTGTGAGATTCAGATCCATCAATCTTACGACGCGATGGCTTCCGCCAGCGTACTCAAAACCTCACGCGACGGCTGCTTCCAAGGCTATTCATAACCTCACGCGTTACAGCCGAAGTCACGGCCATTCGCGGCCTCACGCGACAGCCGCCATTGGAGCCTTTCACGGTCACACATGATAGCCGCAACCTTCAACATTGTGGGGACCCAAAAACGAATTAACAAAACCCAAATAAGAATTTAGTGAAAACCATAAGACACAGATCTGATAGAATTTTGCCCTTGAGCCGCGACTAAAATCTCTGACGTCCATCAGAGATTAGGGCCTCATTGTCACCTCTTGAAATGTTAGGGTACAAATGGTAATTTCGGATAATATCATAGACAACCCCAATATTTTCGAAATTATCGCTGAGACAATGATTATTGCATTTTTTTTAAATGACATAAACCCTCAAAGTTTGAAAACCGTATCAATATTCAATAATATCCTCCTTTGCCCTAATTACAATGGTTTCGTATTTAGGTGAGAGGGATACAATGGTAATTGTCAATATTGGCACTTGAAATGAGATGATCAAGAAAAGGTTAACTCAATTACACCCCTAAAACTCAAGAAACTGATATTTAAACCCTTATAATGTTAGTATGAAGGAGGAAGAGAGATGTCAACGAATAACCAAGCCTACAATCAACTGTTCCTTGATGCTTTGCCATTTCCGTTTGGCTTAAGTTTTGGTTTTCCGTGGTTTGGCCACTTGATCCCTTGGCTCCCTACCACTAATGATAATGTTGGGCTTAAAGACGTATCTAAAGGCAGCGATGGAGGCGTCAATATAGGCTCTCCATGATCAGGCTTTGCTTGTGTGCTTTCAGAGGAAGGGTGTCTCTGTTTTTACCAGTAAAGAAATATGTTTTTCTACAATAAGCCAAGTCTGGTTCTTAAATTTTGGCGTAAAAATTCAAATTTGTTAAAAAAGTTGTTGAAGAAAGATTCTTACATTCATAATTTATAGTTTGATCTATTGAGAGTTATTCATGGTAGTTATATATGCTTTGCAAATAAGACAAATTCATTTATTTTAGGAAAACCTCGAGTTATTCATGGTAGTTATATATGCTTTGCAAATAAGACAAATTCATTTATTTTAGGGAAACCTCGACGGTACGAGGAAAATTTTATTAACTGAAAATAAAATAATGACACCTAGACAGGGGGGACGTAATGAGCCTTACCCCTCAAATAAAACTAAATACAATGAAAAAGAAAAAAGAAATGCAAATGCATGAATTACAATAAGGAAAAAGAGAAATACAAAAGCATTGAGAGAAACTATAGAATGACAAACCCCAAACATCATTCATCAGATTTTCTAGGTTGTTTTGCCGAGGTAAGACTTGTTCGATAATGTCAAATGAAGATATAATCAGCTAATCAGATCTGCAACAATAGTATCTTCACTATAAATGTGAGTGCGACGAAATATCATGTAGTGAAGGGAGGTGAGACAATGTATAACCATCAAGAGAAGAGGGTGTACCTAAAAAGCAAGTATAGAAACATAAAAAAAAAGAGTGGTCATTTACCTTCTTGAATCAATTTACCTCATGAGAAGAGAGCTTCAAGACACTTGTTAGGTCTCCACATGCCAATTAAGCCTATTCACAATGTAAAGAAAAAGATTGACAATACGAACTTTGCCTGTCATTTACATGAACTCCAATCAACAATTAAGAATGATAATTTAATTAAACTAAAAAGTTGAAGAAAGACTTGTACATTCGTGATGAATAGCCATCTACTACACAAGTGTTTTGTTTTGCCTGCATATTAACAAGAAATTATCTCTATTGGTCAACAATTAAGAATGAGCTCTAAGGGTAAGTTTATCCATACAGCTAAGTTTTCATAATCACGAAACTGTTAACAAAGAATTGTTGCATAATATATAACAACTCAAACATTAGACAATTTAAAGAGAAGAGATGAACCTCCTTAAAGTCATGAAGCATATTCAAATTGCACTTTGTTTGGATCAAAAGCTTTTATAAAACTGAAACTCCAAAGATACTCAGTGATCATATTTTGCAACTAATCAATCTGTAACCAATATATGGGCTTTGCGTCCATGATACTATGTCTATCAATATATGGACTTTGCCAATCCACTCGAGTCTTTCTACATCTTTCTGACAATTTGGGACAATCTGTGATTTCTGTAACGTTCTTCCATCACTTTTGTAGACAGAGTAGCGACTGATGAAACATAAGACAATTTGAAGAGAAGAGATGAATTAGAATAGTGCCTGATTGAGCATGCAAAATTTGTTTTCATAAAGAACGAAAGTGCAAGGTAATAAGGGATACAAAATGACAAAGCCCAAACATCACTCATTAGGTTTTCTTGGTTATTTTGCCAAGGTAAGACCTGCTCAACAATGTCAATTGAAGACCTAATTAGCAATCAGATCCGCAACTATACTATCTTCACTGTAAATATGAGTGCACGGAATACCATGCAGTGAAGGGAGGTGAGACAATGTATAACCATCAAGAGAAGAGGGTGTTCCATCTTCAAAATCACATATTCAATAGCGTGGAATAATAAGAATATTGTCCCCAACCCCAAAAGTAGATAATGCCTAAAAGAATTTTTTTAAATGAAAGATTAAAAAAAGGAGTTCATCTAATATGAAATAATGGTGTTTAAAAAGTACCTAAAGAATGGTGTTCGAGAATGTTTATGTCTAAAATCAATTTGCCTCATGAGAAGAGAGCTTCAAGACACTTCTTGGGTCTCCACATGCCAATTAAGCCTATTCACAATGTAAAGAAAAAGACTGACAATACGAACTTTGCCTGTCATTTACATGAACTCCAATCAACAATTAAGAATGAAAATTTAATTAAACTAAAAGGTCAGTTGAAGAAAGACTTGTACATTCTTGGTGAATAGCCATCTACTACACAAGTGTTTTGTTTTGCCTGCAAAGTAACAAGAAATTATCTATGTTGGTTAGCATACCAGAGTTTATTAACAATTAAGAATGAGCTCTAAAGGTAAGTTTATCCATACGGCCAAGTTTTAATAATCATGAAAAGCATCAGAAATATTACCTAGAATTGTACATTCAATCATTTCTGTAATGTCCTTCCATCACTATGCAAACTAAGTAGGGGCTGATGAAACATTAGACAATTTAAAGAGAAGAGATGAATTAGAATAATGGTTGATTGAGCATTAATAAATCTAAATTTTATGGATTCAATAATAAAAGAGATTGACATTAAAAAAACCATATGATGCTATATGTATAAAAATTCCTTGCAAAAGTGAAAGAACTAGAATAAATTAATGAATAGGTAAGATAAGTACCTTCCAATTAATTACAAATTTCAAACCGTTTGCTCTTATCACGCTATTCTGTATTAAAAATGTAAGAAACTAGTTATGATAAACGGATAAAGCACATGACTACTTTTCACTCTTAAAACAAATAAGAAAGTAGTCATTTACAATAAGAAAGGCTTGTTGATTAATTTCAAGAGAAGTATCAACCTGTTGGAGAAGAATATTGATAGCAGCCATCCTGTTGAATCCATTCGTCATCAACTTCAATATTTGGGATGTGAGCAATCTTTGGCCAATCCATCCCCATGTTATTTCCGCATCTCTCTGACAATTTGGGACAACCTGTGATCTCCAGTCTTAAAAGTGAACTTGAATTGGATATCCACTCTGGTAGAGCTGTCAAATTCTGACAATCTTCAATATACAAACGTCGTAGAGTGGTAACACATTGAAGCCCCTTTGGGAGAGACACGAATTTTGGAAGCCTTTCAATATTTAAAGACTGGAGGCTCCTAAAGCCTTGCCATGGCATGTCATCGTCATCCTCACTACTGAGTGATTCAAGTTGGTCACAACCACCAATAGCCAACTTTTGTAGAGAGGTAAGATATTGAAGCCCCTTTGGTAAAGACACCAATTTTGGAAGAATCTCAAGTTCTAAAGAATAGAGGCTTTGAAGACTTTGCCATTGCACGCCATCCGCGAGAAAGTCAAGCTCGTCACACCTTTTAATCATCAGATTTTGAAGTGAGGTGAGAAATCTTATACCTTGATGCACTTGAGTTAGTCTTGAACATCTAAAAATCTTCAAATCAACTAGAGAAGTGAGGTTTCGCATCCCCTCCATTGGTAGAGATTCTAGATCGCCAATTCCATCAATCTCCATAGACTTTAATTTGGAGAAAGGGGTAGAAAAGTTGGAGGAAGTTGATGGTCCCACACTATTCACCAACATTATTGTCTCTAGCAATGGCTTTGAGTTGGTTTCCCTCAAAAGCAATTCTTCAAGAGACGGATATAGTGGCATGGACAAGAAGTTTGGGCAATGATAAATATGTAATTTGGAAAGGCAAGAAATGAAGGCAACTCTCCTTCATCATCATCAACATCTCTCTTCCACCATCCCTTTAATTGAGGACAAACCAAGAGTGATAGTTCCTTAAGTGATGGGAAAAATGTTGTTGAGAGTGTGGAAGAACAACTATCACTTGCTTCTGATGAAATGTACTCCAAATTAAAGAGAAATTTAAGAGACAAACTCTTCAAATGAGGAAGTTTATTCAATGGTGGTACAGATTGGCAATGCCCACAGCTTTTTATACTAATTGAAGTTAGATTTGTAAGGGAGGAAAACCAATTACAAAACTTCACACCCATAAATGAATCTATAGTGATTTCTTTCAAATTTGGGTGTGTCTTTAGACCTTCTAACACTACTTCATCAATCTCCTCAACCTCCCCATATCCACTTCTCCCCTAATCTAGTATAAGAGACTGAAGAAATCTTTTTTCATTTAAGTTGGCCAACCTTCCATTTTCAACGTATTTTAAATTTAGAAGATATAGTTCTCCCCTCAAATTGTTCAAGCTATTTAATTCATCTATCCCACTGTATTTGCTTTTTCTGATGGCCGAACTATTTGTCTCACTTGCTACGAATAGTGATAGTGTTTGAAGATTAGTTAAAAGCCCCAGTCCATGTGGCATTCCCAATAAAGAATAACATTCTTTGTTTATAAGATGCCTCATGTTCACCATTTTACTAATATCTCTTGGTAGCTCTATAAGCTCTCTACAATAGGATACATCTAATGTTTCCAAATTCCATAGTCTCAAAATGGAATTAGGAAAAGATTTAATATCCATATTTGAAAAATTTAGATATCGTAGATGCTCCAATTTAGCAATTGAGCTCTTCAGTTTACCATTCCAAGTAAACAAATTTTGAAACCTTATTCCTCCAAAATTCAATGTTCGCAAGTGCCTATAACTTGTTAAAATTTTATAACCATCATCCACTTTGTTTTCCCATTTTAATTGATCCAATAAAAGTAAAGTCTTTATATTTTTGGCCCTATACAATGCAGTTGGAAATTTCCATGATCGACTTATTTCACCACAATCAAGTGATAAATGACGACATTTTACATCCACACTTTCAATCGTATCTAATGCTACCATGCTGCATTCAATTCCTGCAACTGACTGTGCAAGGTCATGCATAAGATCATGCATTTTACATGCAATTATATTGCCCCATTCATCATATTCTGGATCTTGGAAAAATGACCTTAAAAGTAAGGTCATAAAATACTTATTACCAATAGCTTCTGGACATTCATTCTTGTTTGATCCTTGAAGAAACCCTTGCGCCATCCAAAGATGGATAAGATTTTGCTTCTCAATCTTATAATCTTTGGGAAACAATGCACAATAGGCAAAACATTGCTTCAAGTGCGAGGAAAGATGATCATAACTAAGCTTGAGTATAGGTAAAATATCACTTTCCTTATGAATTATTTTTGACATTTCATTATCCTTGAAATGTAACCAGTCATCTTCCTTATTATTACCATAAAGTAAGTGTCCTATTGTCATTATAGCAAGAGGAATTCCACCACACTTAGCTACAATCTCCTTTCCAATCTCTACTAGGTTTGGATCTTTTGACTCTATCTCATGTCCAAAGGCTACTTTCTCAAATAAGGACCAAGAAGCTAGCTCTCTCAAGGGATAGATATGAAATGAATGTTTACTAGTAACCTTAGCAACCTGCTCACTACGTGTAGTGACTAATATTTTGCTTCCTCTTGCACCATTCAACAACAAATTTTTTAATTTGTCCCATGTATTGGGATCCTCATTCCATATGTCATCCAAAACAAGTAAATATCTTTGATCTTCAATTTCTTTGCGAAGGCATTTTTGTAATTGATCCAATTCAAGCTTTTCAGGCTCCTTATTAGTTATAGATTTTATGATCTTTTCTATAATTAATTTTACATTAAATTCGTCAGACACACACACCCACATCCTTAATTGAAAATGTTTTATGATATTTTCATCATTGTATACAAGTTGAGCAAGTGTGGTCTTTCCTAATCCTCCAAGCCCACATATGGAAATAACTGAAACATTCTCATCATCATTTGAGTCCAATAGAAGTTGCATAAGATTATTTTTCTCATCACCTCTCCCAATAACCTTTTCTGTATGTATAAAAGAGTGTGTTTCCCTTTCCAAATTTACAACTCCTTTTTCATCAACAAAACGTACACTAAGGGAAGGTGGTCTCGCTTTGTAAATACTCTCTAGTGTATCCTTAATTTTCTTCATTTTATGAGCTATCTTAATACTAAATGCAATCTGATTAGACTTAGAGAAGAAGATTCGTACCTCTTTTTCCATTTTATTCATAGTCATTACCTTTCGCTGCTGAAATTGAGAGTAGTAATCATCTAGCAAATCATCTGCATCATAGAGTGCATCTTTGAGCCTCTGAAGCCAACCTGTCACCTCATTATTCTTCTTGCTGTGCTGCTCCTCAGCGTCAAGAAGTATCCCTCGGATAGTGCTCACAATGTCCTTGAGTTGGCTAACTTCATCTTCAACACTCCATGCCAGTCCGATTTCATGGACAGCCAATGATCCCAACTGCTCTATGATTTTCCCTGCAACGTCAAACATAATTCCTTCTGCCATTTGTTATTGGTTGCTGTAATACAAATTGATTTTAAGAGGTGGAATTAATTAATAAGAAGATAGCTATAGAATTGAATATTAAAGTAACTTAATAAGACCAGTCTTATTTGATGATCATCTCTTAAATTATGCGGTGAAGTGAGATATTGTTGAATTTAATTGAAAAAAATGGTATTAAGATGCTGATAAACATAAATCAAGTTACCTTAGCAATAGCACTGACAAATTAAGAATGGAGAGTTTGAGAGATTTGGTGAGAGAATTTGAGAGATTGAATTGAGCGTTTTAGAGTAGAAAGAAGAGAAAAAGAAGAAGAATCAAATAAATTAAACAAAGATAAGAAAAGGATCCAATACGTGCGAATAATTCTAATGACAACAATGCTTAATTCATTCATTTCTTCTTTCAACAGAAGAAAAGAATCGAATAATGAAAAAGCAAAAGCCAAGGCTGAGGTTTGGCATTAGAATATTGAAAGAAAAAAATATAATAACTTGGGTGCGAAGATCAACGGTTAATGCTAATAGTAATTATTAACTATTACATGTCGTTCAAATTGCACTTTTAAATTCAATGAATTTAGTTGATTATAGGGAGTTTATTTATTTATTTATTTTAAATTCAATGAATTTAGTTGATTATAGGGAGAAAATCAAAATAAAGACCTATGTTTGTGTTTGAAAAAAGCTTGCAAAGAAAGAATGGAATTTGCTTTTGTTTTTACCTTTTTCAGATTTTTTAAATTGGGTGGCATTGCAGGTTATGGAAATAAAATAATGTTACGGACACTGATAATTTGCATCGAATTTTTGTACTAACGTAGCCACGTTGGAGACAATATTTGTCTTTCGTGAATAAACGACTGTCCAACAATTATGGACGTCCGTCCATATTTGATGGACGACCGTTCATCACAAATGAACGGTTGTCCAACAATTATAGACGTCCGTCTATATTTTATGGATAGTTGTGAATTACAAATGGACGATCATCCACCAATCTAGATGAATTCTTATGCCGAAATAACAATGGACTCTCGTCCATATTATATGGACGGGAGTCTATTTCTTACGGATGGGCGTCCACCTCGAATGGATGCCCGTCCATAATTTAAATTATAAAAGAACGGATGCCCATCCATATTATATGGACTGGTGTCCATTTTCAATAATAATAATAATAATAACATACTAAAAAATATATGGGTTTTTACTGGTCTCTAATATGGGGAAATACAAAGCTATAGACTTCAGAAGTTAAAATATGCTTTTGTTTTACACGAAATTCACTACTGGCCCTGTAAAATCAAAATAAATCAATATACCATTTATTAACATAAAAATATGCCTGTAATCTAAATGAGAAGCAAAACTAAAATAGTCAAAATAATCAATACCTTGGTATCTGTACAAGGCAAATAAAAATTTTTATTTGCCAATGGACGATCGTTCATATTCAATGGATGGCCATCCATTATTATATTTTTTAAAATTTATGGACCGGCGTCTATTCGAGGTGGACGCTCGTCCATAGGAAATGGACTCCCGTCCATATAATATGAACGAGAGTCCATTGTTATTTTCGTACAAGATTGGGTCGTCCATTAAATATGGACGGGCGTCCATAATTGTTGGATGGTCATTCATTCGTGGAATACGTGTTTTGTCTCCAACGTGGTCATATCTGACTAGATGCTATGTCCTTCAGTGCAAAAATTCGATACAAAAAATCGGTGTCTGTATCATTATTGTATGGAAATATGACCCTTTGCTTTACGTTTAAACTTTATGTTGCTACTGTTAAGTCCACTACGAAATAGAGGTTTGGGCTTTGCATTTTGGGCCTATCGCCAAACCAATGGTACATTACATTTGTTTTTGAAAGCCCAATACAGTTTTCTATGGAATCTAATACTCTTATGAGGAAACTGTAGATCTAGGCTTCGTTTGGTTCAAGATTGAGAATACTACTCTTGGTATTCCAAAAAAAGTTAAACAGTAAAATACCCAAAATCTCTCATTTTTGGGAATACTATTTTCAATATTATTTAATTTTTTTTAAACCCTCTAAATTTGTTAATTTAATTAAATACCCATAAATATTTTTTTTAAAATTACAAAAACACCCCAACAATCCACATTTACCAGATTCCGGCCACCACTACCGGAAAATGGCCGGAATCTGGTAGGATGGCGCACTACTGGCTGAATCTGGCCGGTAGTGCATCGATCTAGCCTTTTTCGGCCAGATCAACGGCCAGATCTTCGGCCAGATCTACGGTCAGATCTGGCCGTTGATCTGGCCGTATTTGGTCTCAACGACGGCCAACAAACGGTCATCGTTGATGGTCAACGACGACCGTTTGTTGGCCGTCGTGACCGAGTGTTACGGCCAAAGATCTGGCCGTCAACGGCCAGATCTTTGGCCTTAGATCTGGCCTTTTCCGGCCAGATCCATGGTGGATCTGGCCGGAAAAGGATAGATCGGCGCACTACCGGCTAGATTCAGCTGGTAGTGCGCCATTTACCAGATTCCGGCCATTTTTCGGTAGTGGTGGCCGGAATCTGGTAAATGTGGATTGTTGGGGTGTTTTTGTAATTTTAAAAAAAATATTTAGGGGTATTTAATTAAATTAACAAATTTAGAGGGTTTAAAAAAAATTAAATAATATTGAAAATAGTATTCCCAAAAATGAGAGATTTTGGGTATTTTATTATTTAACTTTTTTGGGAATACCAAAAGTAGTATTCCCAATCTTGAACCAAACGGAGCCCTAGAAATTTAAATTGGGCCTACTCCAATATTATATAACATAAGACTTTGGTTAAAAATTATACATGAACAAAACATAAAAGTTCGATAGCCTGGCTGGGCAGAAACGTAGTTCGATAGACAAGGTGACTACGCGCTCGATAGGACAACAACTCGATAGTAAGGACACCTTGAACGCTGCAGCAACTTCAGCCAATCTTTGCAACGTTGCTGTAACCAGCAACCAACTAGGCATGGTGATCACACCGCGAACGAGCTTGCCACCATGCAACGACTAGAGAACCATGGATCCTAGCACATCTGAGCCACGGATGGGGTTCCCTCTAGAATTGAAGAACAACTTGTACAATGAATTACGTGATGAAATCTCAACTTGTTGACTGCGCAAGTCGTCGCCATAGGGGCATGACCAGAGAATCTCAGCAACATCACTGCCCTTGAGAATCATATAGGAGATATAAGTTACACAAACTTGTCTAAACATATTTTAGGTTTTCATGTGAAGTTAGAGACATAAATTTTTTCTAACTCAAGCTTTTTTTTTTTTTTTTTTTTTTAATGATTAAACCTTAAATGCATTTAAAAAAAATATCTAATCAAGGTGATCTATTAATATAACACATATTTTTAAAAAATTAAATTTTTTTTTTTTAATATGTGCTAAGTTGATTCGCTTCTTAACCTAAATTTAACATAAAAGAAATTACTATACGATGTCATATTAATTGTACTATATCTGTTTAAATTTATATTGTATAATTTTTGGAAATAATTTTAATAATTAAGGTATTACAAAGGTAAACTAAACATATATTTTATGTATTTTTCAAAAATAAACTACTAGAGAACACATTGTAATTATTTTTATTTGCATAATGTTATTTTTAGAAAATGAAACCAAATATCTTCCTAAATCTTAAAAACAAAAAAATCCCGTAACTCTAATTTAATTTTCATTAAAAAAATTTACAAAATAAATTCAAATAAAAATTTAAGTTTTAATAGTAAATATTTTAGACAGGCTAAAGGAAATTAAGGAACAAATAATTAAGAAGAAAAAATGCATAAAATATATACAAAAATAAATAAAGAAAAAAAATAAGACTTCTCCTACATATTTCAATGGGAGATTATCATAGATTATCTTCAAGATTTCCAAATTTATCATTCAGATAACAAATTTTGCATTTTTTATCATAGACTACCTCAAAGTTCAAAATTTTTATTACCAAACTTACTATTTTATTCAAAAACTTTCTTTTAAGACCAAAATTACGATTTCACTCATCTACCATAAACTAAAACATAACAAAGTTATGATAAAAGGGTATCTATAATATAGTTTGAAACTTTGAGAATAGTCTCACATGAAAAAAATTCCCTTATCTCTTTATCAATGTCCTGCAATTCCATGGAAAATATTTGTTTGTTTGATATATAGATTTAAAGAAATAAAGCACATGTATTCTACAATATATGAAACCCAGTTTGATTATCTAAATGGTAACTAAAACATGCGCTGCATGGTTGAATCTTAAAATTGTCCAATGACGTTTTAAATCTTTTTAGAAATGTTATGGCTTCGATTGTTTCAGTTTTAACTTTTAAGAATACTATTATTAGTATTCCCAAAAAAATTAAACAATAACATGTCATTATCCCTAAAATATTATTCTATATTTTTCAATTTCTTTTAAACCTTCTAAATTTATTAATTTAACTAAATACCCCTAAATATTTTTTTAAAAAATTGCAAAGACACTCCGACCATCCTCCGGCGGTGGTGGCCGATTGTCCATATTTGAGGGTGGGTTCAGGGTGTTTTTGTTAACTTTTAATGTTTTATTATAAGGGTGTTTTATAAATAAACAAACATAGAGGGTATTTTATTAATTTGTAAATCCTACATCGTAATACCCGCCCAATTCAACTTTTTTTAAACTTTTTTCAAAAAACTTTTCCCAAAAACGCAAAAATGTAAACCAAACGGAGCCTATATACCTATGTCCAAGCATAGTTAATTTTCTATATTCCCCTGAAAAAGAATTATAGCAAATCAAGCAATAGCCAAACGACGGATTATTCCGCCAAATTTAAGTAGCAAAAGAGAGTTTTCTTAATGAAATAAACATGTTCATCAATCACTTTACTGGTCTTTTGGGGAGGAAAAATCTTGATCAGCTAGGCTTTTGCATATCCAACAGTCAGCCTCCCTTGTGCGACCTAGC